AACGAAGAAATTGAATTGCTTACTAAACAAGCACATATCCATAAAACACGAGAAACTGAACAAATAAAATAGAGCTTTGTCTTGAAAAGTGTCTCTTAGAATTTTTAATTTACTGAAACATAAAATATTGAACAAGAAGGGAGGGATTTCAGAATAACAACTACCTAATGATAGTAAATATAAAAAATTATAAATATCATTTATCATTAAAATGTTTTATAAAATTAAACCTTTTCGAAATTAACTAACAGAACATCACTTACGAACAACGGAGTGTCGTAATTATTTGAATGATTTGAACTAGGTTCTACAAATTTATTTGGCGTTTCCGTGGCCAGAGAGACCCGAAGTGTGTCAAGTCCCTTGGTAGGGTTGGTCTCAGCAATCTTTATAGGGCATCCTCAAGGACTACTCGGCCACAAAGCTTTGTCTCAGACTAGCGGGATGGAATTGGAACTTGTAAAGTGTAAAGAAAATGTGTAACATACCCTTGCATTTGCTTGAAACTCGTCCGATTTGAATAGCTAATAATAGCTTTAATAAAAGCCAGTATTTCATTTAAGGTTCTTAGACCAAAATATATAGGGTTGTATAAGTATTATAACTGGTGGAATACGTCTGAATTAAATTGAAGCATTAAATTGAATTGAAATTGAAGTAAGAATTTTAAATTAAAGCAAATTAGTGTTTTTATTCGAGGAATACAGTAGATAAATATATGCCGATGCTTGGTGTGAAATCTGTGTGTGCATACCTACAATTTGAGACCTTAATCATGGAAATCGGTCGGGTATAAGAGCCAAACGAATTTGGAAAAGAAACACCAAATTTAAATCCCATAAGAAATACATGGGAAGCAAATTTTGTTTACGTATAAGCCGAGTTGGGTTGTAGATAAATATATGCCGCAGCTTGATGTGAAATCTGTGCAACTAGTACAAATAGTTTAAAACCAGCGTATTTAACTAATTGCGATAAACAAAATAGGATTGAACGAAACCCAACTTAGGTTATCTTTAGTCACTGCATCACAATGAAAATCCACATGGCTGTGATAATAAGTCCAAAATACAAAGTTTATCGAGTTCTAAACAGCTGTTATCTAATGTCAAGGTCAACAGATCAGCTAATAGACCCCTGCAGTTCCGGAAAACTGGCGGGAAAACTACTGGAGATCGAGCGGGAAACTACCAGCAGCTCGTTATAGAGGATTACGATACGAATGGAAATCGTGGATAACGGGAAGGCTATTTTGGTTTGCTGTTGGTGACTAAAGTGAAAACCACAATCATATACTATATAGAACTGCCTACACTGTTATTTAGCTGTGATTCATTGATGTTAGGCCTGGCGCACACGGTCGATTTTTCGATCGGCCGATTAAAAAATCGGCCAAAAATAAATCGCCCTTGATTTATGTCTAGGCGCACACGTGGCGATTTTTTAGTCGAGAAATGGATTTTTTTAGTGCGTTTACGCTATCCTAAAATGGACTTTGTTGAATTAACCTGTGTTTGTGCTCTTCTAATTAGATCAAAGAAAAAAAGAAGAAAACTTAAATATTGGGTCCATCCGATAGTAAGTCAGGGACTTTTAAATCGACAGTTTTATAAACTATACACTTTACGTGATGACAGTAAAAAGTCCTTTAATTACTATAAAATGTCTGTTGAAAGTTTCAGTTTTTATTATAACAGCTGTGGCCTTTTTTAGCAAAGAAAACAACACAACTCGCACTGAAGTTCACTGACTCCTGTGGAGAACAACAAGCGACTGGCCGATTTTTAGTCGACCGTGTGCGCGGACTGATAACAATCTGTACGTTACAGATTTTCGGGCGACAATTGCCTCGCCTACGAATCTGTGGTAAAACCCAGATTTTAAAATCGGCGCAATTCTCGATCGCCTGTGTGCGCGCTTCCATTCAAATACATGATGCACAGATTGGCCGATGAAATAGTCGCCTCAAAATAATCGCTCGTGTGCGCCTAGCCGTGATCAATGAAGATTAGTAAGAGTACACGATTTGACGATACAGTATTTGTGTATTTGTATGACATATGTAAAATAACCTTATACTGGAAACAATGATACATGTACAACAATTATTTTGATAGGCATATTAGGTTATATTTAGAGTCCACATACAACTTTTAAACAAGCATAAGATTAAATTTTGCAATTTGAAGATAATTTTTGGTGAAGATAGTCCTAAAGCTATGTATATGAAGAGAGTAAAACAGTTATGTTCAAAGTGACTGCATTGGTAAGAAAACTCAAGTTGGTCTCAAACTTTGAAATTGAAATTAAATCAAAATCGTGACAATCACATTCACATTGAAAGACGCACGTGACAACAGAGTATAAAAACGTGTATTGTATTTTCCGTTTAGAAATCCACCCTCTGCCCTCAGAGCTTTGATATTGAAATCCGTTTTCGAATAGCTTTCAAGCATAGGCGAGCAATTACCTTTGTTGCTGGTAGGGCCTATATATTAAAGTGAGAATATCAAAGAGTCACTGAGGAAATTTGGTTATTTGCAATCCAACGGCTCCAAGGGTAAGTAGGGAATTTATCTTGCAGAGGGGTGTAAATGATAAGATTAACTTGGTAGAAAAGCATATCACACAAGGTTAAGTGACCTCAATATTACCTTGGCGTTGTAATTTTATTGTTTTAGCTAACAAAAGCATTTTCCGTAGAATTCTTCCTGGATGTGAATGATTTTCTTTAATCACATAGAAAACGAGAACACTAACCCAAAATTGAGATTATAGTTTAATTTTAAAGAAGCAAATTTAAGTAAACGAACGTGAACCGATCATTTCTGATTCAAAATTACAAGAGGTCTGTCCTGCATCCGATACGGGCGAGGAACTCAATGGTGTAAAAGTTGACAAACATGGGGTGAAATTGTTGTGAAAATAACAAACAATAAAATATTATCTAAAAAAATAGAATCTACAACAGACAAATTCGAAATAACAGTGAAGTATTCACCACTATCGAACACTCCAAGGAGATTACTTAATGTCTTTTATCACCTGACAAATATTTTCAAGTGATAACCATTGTTGGCTAGATATCATTAGTGTTATCAGAGATTAGTGGGTGTCAGGCGGTTAAATATAGCTTATCAGTGGTGATAAGAGGACAGAGGTCGACCGGGGAGTTTCCAACACGCTCGAATCAGCTGAGCTGTGACGTCACTGTGTTTATGTAGCCAACTGGATATGTCTGGTTACTGTGGAGTGCTAAGGTGTTTGCTATAAAATAAGTAGGTACCAATTAAAATGTCTCGAGAATTGAGACATCATTTTGGAGCAAAAATGTCAAGTACAATGACAAAACTAGTGTATGGCTAAGCAGTGGCGTAATATTGTTATAAACTAAAAGTAGGGTGTGAAACAGCGACTAGAATGGGTTGAGATCAGTTCTTCAAATAGTTACAATTTCTCTGGAAGAGGGAGGACAAATTATAATTACTAGACTTTGTTTAATTAGAGGAACTGTTCTTCAAATATTAACTTCATTATTCGATTAATCGATTCACATTCGCACTGCCACTACCTGAGTATCATCAGATGGATTTTATGTTTGTGTTATTGTACACTGCAGTGTTATTATGCGAAGGGAACTTTCCAAACCCGGACAATACTACTACCTAACGTCCACATTATATAGATAGCACCATTGACCGACAGCCCAATGACGTATCCAAAATCGACATACCCAAAATCAAAACCAGCAATCTTAGTTCGCCGAGAACTTTACCGGTACATTACTGCCTAAGCCCAAAAGGAAGTTCACTTCCAAGACTTCCAAGACTACGGATCATTACACGGTGCATTCCCAGATATCGACCTGTAGGCAGACGAGAGGCGGAGGCTGTACGTGGAGTACAATATCGAGCGTGGGTGTCTAGTAGCGCCTGCGCCGTAGTCACAGTCTCCCAAGTCAATATAGCCCACCCCTCTACACACACACATTCCGTTAAATCATTCATGTATACCCACCACCGACCGTGCATGAGGAAGTATTGTGGTTAGGGTGACACTAAACAACTAATCTTCGGAAATTATTTATAGACATTCTAGTAGTATATAGGGATGTTTGACAGGGAAATGGTTGAATTTGATTCATGTCCGGACGAGGAACATGAATATCTGTGTAGTTAAAGAGTTCGCCTTAATTGTGGTTGCTAGTTCAACTAGTTCTAGAATCAAATTTCATTTTATTTGGCTATAAATTAATGATGCCATCCAACAAATGGTTAAAGATATAGTAACAAGATCAGAGTTAGGACAGTTCCCTTAACAAAACTCGCATTTCAAACTAATTAACATCTGCTATCTGTAGTCTACTTATGCTCAACGTATATTTTGCAACTCCGAAATTAAAACAATGATTTTTGTGTTGTATGGCAAACATTTACGTGAAATTATTGAAATTATCTCAAAAAATGCAAAGAGCTATGGAGAGACACACAATCTGCCCTTAAATACGTCATTTATATAGTTTGCATTAAAACGTATAGTATACTGCAAACATTGAACAAAAACACTTTATACGTCATAGATAAATCCAGAGTTCGATTTGCTGATTAACTGCTGGACGGAATCAGAAATATAACTAAAAATGCGTTTGCCTTAAAATACAAATTTAAAGAATAGTCAGATACGACACCCTTGTAACTACAGTAATGTGTAATGCATACAAGAATAAATGTAGTGTAACGGTTGAACCTAGCCGCTAAGAACATGTAAACATTATCTGCCTAAACTATTTGTGTCTATAGAAAAAGTCGTTATCGATACTAAAATGGTTTACGATTTGCGATTATTATCGTGGTAATAATTGACCTTATCAGTTTCGATACGTTGTTACTAGTGAACGGACTGAACACAGATTTAAAAACGAAATGTCAGTTATTAAATAAACGTTTTTGTAAAACCTAAATAGTTTTTTTACCATTGTTTTAGGCTAAATAACTAAAATTATGCCCAGGTTTGCCGAACAAACTGTGTAAGTATGTCTAAGTACAACATTACAAATGAAACCTAAACAAAATTTTAAATACTTAGTGCACGATTAATATTGTGGAAATAACCAAATGAAACATTGTAGTATCGTGTAAGTCTGTCCAAATCTAATATATAAAATTCTCGTGTCACAGTGTTTGTCTGCAAACTCCTCCGGAACGACTTCACCGATCGTTATGAAATTTGGTGTGTAAATTCTGTAGGTATGCGAATCGGACGTAAACTATTTCCCGTTTCGAAATTCTTAAAAGGGCTCCGCCCCAGTGGCTCTGGAGTTTCCCATGTTAACCTTATGAGAAATGGAATTAATGAATCTTAACAGCTGTTTCAATTAAACAAGTTGGTTCTGTTCTATGATGTTCAATAGCATTAAAGTTACAAGGATTACCAACAGGGTGCAGCACTATTATTTCTTTTACATTTATGACAACAGCTAATTTGCAACCAAAAGGTGAGTGAGCGTAGCGAACGAACTTCAACCTGGAGGCGAGTGAGCGTAGCGAACGAGCTAACCTGAAGGCAAGTGAGAGCAGCGAACGAGCTCCAACCTAAAGGTGAGTGAGCGTAGCGAACGAGCTCCAACCCAAAGGTGAGTGAGCGTAGCGAACGAACTTCAACCAGGACGTGATTGAGCGATGCGAACGAGATCATCTTGAAAATTAAACGTAACGGTACTTTCTTTCCATCGGTCTGTCTTAGGGGAAACCTATAACTTAGGCGATACGAAGTTCGCCGGGTCAGCTAGTAGTTTAATAGATTTGTATTACATTGGCCATTTGGTGGCGATAATTTAAAAGAATCCACCATAAACTTTACTTCAACCATATAAAAATAGAATTAAATATAGACCGACAGCAGTGCTGCGATAAGTTCTGGCGTCCACCACTAGGAGTGCTGTAGCAACGTAGTGCTTGCACCTTAACTACACGGCGCTCTTAGCGGTGGACGCCAGAACTGCTAATTATATTTGTCTATGCTTCAACACTAATCATTCTTTCTCTACAGAATAAAGAGGAAACTGCATGCAGACCGTCTGGTGCTGGTAAAGAGGGAGGAATGGGAAGCGAGAGAACCCAAGGAACCACTCCCAGCAGTTCCCTTGCCCATCCAGTACGTTGTGGTGACATGGACGGACACGGATATATGTGAATGGCCCGCGGCGTGTATGAAGAGGGTGAAGAGTATCCAGGAAGACCACATGGACAACAAGGGACTGCCCGACATCAGATACAAGTAGGCTAGATGAGGGATAAGGTAAACGTAGGCCCTTGGGAACGTGAGTAAGTAATTTCTGGGGCATAGATACTAGATAGGTAGGAAGACATTTAGTAACAGTTGAGAGTGCAGGCAGAGTAGGGAATCATGGAAGATCTTTATAGGTCATAAATACCAACCAGCAGGCTGGCAATGTGATTAGGTTGTGCAATTGCGCCAAGCCCTCAAAGGGTCCCAAAAATGTTCCTTAGTTACGCCAAGCCCAAGCCTGGTAGGGATGAGTTGTCGGCAGAAGGAATAACCTTGATTAAGTGTCATTCTAACCTATTCTAACCTAGCCTACTTAATTAATTCTCAATTATACAGCCAAAGAGAAAGAGTGCTACCACTTGCCCAGTTAATGGACTTATCGGGTGGCTCCCTGGATTAGTTGGCGCAATTCAAGAATACCCGACTACCTAACTGAGGTCAGTTGGCGCGATAATGCCCACCCTCTGAGTAAACTCTTCGTAATAGGCGTGCGTACAGATTGGTCAATGGTTCGAGGGTCGTTTCTAACATACAGATTGACCAAAGGTCCTAATGAGCAGGGGCAAAAAATGGGGGAGGAGCTTACAGCAGCGATGTCCCATGTGTGGGAGGGGCTAGTCTATTCAAGTAAACTGTTTGTTAACGTTTTCTAATCTTACCAGATACAGAGGTGGTCTCTTTAATGCTATTGAATATCGTAGAACCAACTTGTGTAGTTGAAAAAGTTGACAACATTTTTTTATTCATTTTAAATATGAATACTCATAAGGTTAACATGGGAAACTAAGGAGCCATTGGGACAGAGCCTGAAATGATTTTTGGGATAAGAATGTGTCTAGATATGTTAATCGGAAATGTGAGCTATCTTCATACCAAATTTCAACCCGATCCGAACAGTAGTTAATGCGTGATTGGATATCAAACAAACGAACAAACTCACAAAATTTCACAATATTAGTACTACGATATATTGTAGTTTTTAAGGGTGAAAACATGATGTCTCATCATATCTCTATTATTTTCATTGCGTGTGCGATCTCTTCAAGGCAACTTAGAAAGATTAAATAACATTTTACTAATGACACATACTATGAAAACACAAAATCTAATGTAAACCATTTTCTTCTTTACATTGTATACAAAATAATACAACATTTTCTTGATTTAACCATAGACTAACCAACACTGTTTTATCTATGATTTAACTTAAACATCACCGACTTACAGATAACCCAATTTTCGTATGGATGTAAACAAAATTGTACCATGGACATATGTTTTGATGTAAACAAAATTTCATTGTAAACTTGAAAAAAGTTCAGATGATTGACAACAGAATTCAGCACAAACTATGCAATAAGCTAATATGACGAGGTTATATGCTTTCACGGGATAAACGGAATGATACCTCCAATTTGGAGTTATTATTTTCTTTTAGCGGCAACTGGAAATGTAGCTGACTAAATATTAATAACAAATTATTATTTATTTCAGGATTTTAAGGCAAAATGTTAAGAATTATTTGAAGTTTAGAATTTTAATTTTTTGTTTACGTAAATGTTGAATAAGTGAGTAGATTTTTGTATTTTGTGGTAGAACATTTTATTCGGGTGATCTCGCTTTCAATGGAATATCTTTTTCCTTTTTTTAACTTTTGTTAAAATACTACTCCTATAATGAATATTGCTAAATTGGTTTTGTAAACTTAAAAATGAACATCGTGTGCAAATACTAAGACAGATATTCAAGGTAATTTTCAAACAATGTGTATACACATAAAAACGAGAATGCTTATGCTTTGAATCTTGAAAGAACACTTCAGGACTTTTAAATGGTAACATTACCTTATTGCTATAACAGGGTCAAACGAACTAACAATTTCGTAACCAACTCGACCTCCCAAAAAATGTACTTTGTGTACTTGAAAAGAAATTAATAGTGAGTTTATAAGCAATTAGTTAGATTTTATAGCCTATTATTTGTATTAGAATACCGCACTGTTTTGTTTACAGTTGAATGTAAAAACCTTATTTGTTTACTTGACAGTTTACATAAAACTTAGTGTTTTAAAAAGTAAAATTCGTCTCTTGAGTGTGGCCACCTCTGTGACTGGTAACTTTAGAAAAAGTTAGGCCAGGCGCACACAGGCGATTTTGAGTCGCGCAACAGTTGCCCGACTAAAATGTTCAACATTGTTTTAAATTGGAGTGCGCACACGAAGGAAACAGTCTGGGGACAGTCGCGCAACTGTTGCAACCGATGTTCCCGGACCCAATTTGCCAGCGACTGCTCTGCGACTGAATTGTTGCGGGACTGTCGCTCCAGGTTTGGTATCCATTGAAACAAGTGTAGATGCGCACACATGCAACTAAATAGTTGCTGTGTCGCTCAGTCTCACCCCAGGAATTCAACTACTCGTGGCCAGAACTGTCACTAGTGTTTGCTCTCTTGTTGTGTGAAGATTTTAGAAAATTGCAAGTATGAGTGTGCGTGGTGAGGATGTCGAACAATTAATTGATGAAGTTGAGAAGAGGCCGACTATATTTAAAGTCATTGACTCTGTCCTTTCACAAGTCGCTCACTATATATATGGGATGAACCCAGTATCTTCTCTTTTTCTTTCGCGCGCGAAACTTCAGCAACAAAGCACATACTACGGCTGTATCATTGAAATCCATTCGGAACGCTGTAACGAATGTATTTCCAACACGTCTCAAGACTAGATCCGCGACTAAAAAGTTGCCTGTGTGCGCACTCCAGCTCAACTGTCGCTAGACTTCAGAGTCTCCGAGAGAGTTGCGCAACAGTCCCCCGATTAGTCGGGCAACTGTTGCGCAACTCAAAATCGCCTGTGTGCGCCTGGCCTTAACAAACAGTTTACTTGAATAGACTAGCCCCTCCCACACATGGGACATCGCTGCTGTAAGCTCCTCCCCCATTTTTTGCCCCTGCTCATTAGGACCTTTGGTCAATCTGTACATTAGAAACGACCCTTAAACCATTGGCCAATCTGTATGTGGCCCGTAATAGCAGCCATGCGAAATACAAATAGATTTGGAAGTGAAGAAGGTTTACACTAAAAACACTGTCTTCGTCTTGCCTTCCATTCCAAAACCTTTCTTTAATTGCAAAGTGATCAATGTTAATGGTGAAACAGCTACACTTCACAGTGGTCTAATTCAAATTAAAATGTTTCACAAACAAAATGAGTTTAAACTTTGTTCATTAGTATTTCGTTTATTGCTAAATCTTTACATTCCACTACTAAATCTATGAAATGGTCATTGTAAAGCTGCATTGACTCGAAGTGTGCAGTTTATGACATTCAAGTAGGTGTTTTGTTGATGTCCAGTTTCCTGATAGGATCTGACAAGCAGACGTATGAAGGAAGAGGCTGGAGAATGATGGGTCCGACCTACCCAGAGACCATAGAAGGGGCGAAGGAAATCAACGGCAAGAGCATAGAAATCGCCTTCATCGAGAAAGACAGTAAGTATTGTGTTTGTAAAGCTAGAGTTTCGTGGGGTAACATAGCATACTCTGCTCCAGCATAAACTCCAGCTTGAGATGTTGATGTTTCAGTGCAGATACCGTCTGACGATCTTGCTTCAGCCATGCTCAAGTTTCTAGCCAAAGAGATGGCACTCAACAATGTTGCGCGGCCTCTGGAGTTCAAGGCCATCATGGACAACAAGTTCGTCAGGTTTTCAAGACTGTTCGAAGGAGAGAAGGTACTTTAGATCCTGAGGTGGTTAGTAACCAAAGGAGTCCTCAATTTTCACAGCATTGGTTTGGTAGCCTTTGAAGTGTATATTAAATTGAGAGCATCAATGTGCAATTATTAGTCTACATAAAATCTATGAACTAGTTATATTTTAGGGTGTTGAGGAAGCGAGTCGATTCAACAAACTGATGGTATCCATGTAATATTTTGTTTATCAGTTAACTGTTGCCTTGATTAAATTCCCCTCTCTTCATCAAAAGATTTGGACCTTTTCCGTTAACCTAACCTAATATACTAATAAGTGGTGGTGAATCAATAGAAAAGGTACCCTGATTTTATAGCTCTTTTCAAACGAATTATGAATTCACGAGAATTTTACTATCAACTCTGTGGGCACAATTTTCATTTAATGACCAACAGATTAATCTATTTAGGTCTAAATAAGCTCTTTATCGGCATCAGACCCATACATCTCAAGACTGGCGGTAATTTAAATTGTCAAATTTTGACAGACTCGAGTACATGATCACTTGTTTTGTAGGTGGCCGACTTTATGTACACCGAGGAAGAGCGCGCTGCCGAAGCCGAGAGGGACCAACAAGCTGAGGAGATGTTAAAAGAATCTTTGAAAGAACTGGAAGAGAGAGACTCGTGGATTGATAATGAGATGGAAGCTATATTGGAAGAGCAAAGAGCGGTGATCAAGACAAAGACTCCAGAGGAGATCAAGAAGGAATACGGTTATACTGAGGATGTTGACGAGGAGAAGGTCAGAGCAGTAAAGATACCAGATGATGAAAAACCAGAAGAGGCAGAAGGAAATCCCACAACTGATGAAAAAACGTAGTGTAGTACCTAGTATTTTCAAGTTATATTAAATAGTTGATTTTTTATTAAAAACCAGCAGCAAAAACCTGCATTGCCCGGGTTAAATTAAATGCACAATAATGGTAATATGGTAATAATGGTAATCGAATGGAAAACAACAATTGTATTGACCACGTAATAATGTATTTTGTTTGAAAATGGTTTGAGCCTGAGTCTGATATCATACTATATTAACTGGTTTCATGGGTAGTAAACCTACTTCTGATTACTGTATCTATTTTAGCATTACATTACCTCTCAAACAGCACATACTAATATGCAAAAGAGGACAACAAATGTACAAATAAAAAGGTTAATGTTTTGCCAGACAAAACCCGGATCACTGACCCTACAACATATATTCAACCTTAATCTTTTTGTTCGTAAATACAGTAATCGAGAGGCGACAACATTTTGTCACATTTAGATTTTCTACCGTCTTAGAATTCATTACAATTCCTTAAACAAACATTGTCAACTGTTGTGGATGGACGTAATATGTCCCTTAGCACAGAAAACATACTACTATAACAGTATAGTAATATGTTTTCTGTGCCCTTAGCCTGTAAAGAAAGGACAGATCTGATCTAAATATCACAACATACTCTGTTAGTGTTTTGACACAGCCCTTAAAAAATGCTGGATCTGAGTTTAAATAAAGATGAGTATTTCCAAAATAAGCATCGTGTATCATCATAGATTATAGATTACTGTACTGATTTTAAAGGATTGTACATAAAATAGTGGATGCATTAGTTGAACTTATGCTGCCTCGGACGTCATTCCTGTACACAATCCTCTCAGTACCTAGTTCTTTTGCAAGCTCACAGTAATGTGTGGGTAGACCGGGATTGCGCCAGTTATGTGAGGGTTAAAAAGGGTCAGCCTTGCACGCACCGGGATTGCGCCAACTCTACCCCAGATAGCCGGGTAGCCGGGTAATTGTCAGAAGATGGAATGTAACCTAATCTAACCCGATAATGAAGGGAGAAACTAAAGTTGAACTTGAAGTATTTTCTGAACTTGAAGAAATGCCGCATTGGCGCAACAACGGTGCGTTTGGGGGGGTTGATTTGCCAGTGGCGATTTGCCGGTGTCTACCTGGCCCTAGTGGCGCAATCCCGGTGGCCTGTCATGTGCATAGAACTACAACAAGGTCATGTGTGAGTGCGCTAAGGTTCTTGACACGCTAGCCGAGTAATGAATAATGAAGATTGCAAAGCGGTTTCCAAGTGAGCGTAGAAAGGTTAACCCGTACATTCTGCAGGTATGCGGGAACCGTTGTATCATCTCACCGTACACGTCATCGCTATCATCATCATCACTCACACGGGCATCTTGGGCTATCATCACTCCTCTAACGGTGTCTGATGATACATGATGATGCGAGGTTGGAAACTGTTATATGATCGTAAGGTTAAAAGTCTTCTGAAGACTTGTGGTCAAATTAAAGTATATCGTACAGTATTGATCTTTGAAATTGACAGGACTATTTGGATACCTTGCCTAAAGATCTTTTATGAAACACTTTATTAATTTCTCTATTAAATTTACCAAAGCAATCGATACGTGTACACGAGTTCACTGGGTGGTAACATTTAATGTAAACAAGAATTTAAAAGGTTGAAAATATTTCTACAGACATATTCTACAGTGATGATAAAAATAAAATTCATGAAAATGTAGCAATTACTTGGTTAGTCCAGGTTAAAATTAAACATTCTGCAGCTAATTTGTCTATTATTTGAAATAGTTGTAGCTCTTAAAATGCTTTATGAACGAAAACCACTCGGATCTCCAATTTATGTTACAAAATCATGTAACTTGTCTGCCTTCTTGTAACGATGTTTAAAAACTCAAATAAACCAAATATTTTTTGCACTAGTCTTTGCACATACACAATGTGCACTGTCTGTTCCTGTTAGCAAAAAGTTCTGTACTAAATGAAAATATCGTAAATCTAAGAAAGAATACAAGTAAAATATATAAATAAAATATAAGTATAATAGACATGATACAATAGAATAACCTTGAAATTATGAGTCACCGCACGAGATAACGGCATGTTTGTGACAATGAGACATCTGTCAGCTGATGATATTGAGGTTATGTCCACATCAAAGACAGCTGATTAGTCACGTGATAATGACGTCATGGCTGTCCCTCGCAGACGAACGTGCCTTTGATTGTCTCACTTGAAAAACATGGCAATTATGTGGGCTCCTTAATTGTGCTGTTATTGTCAATGTGTATCTAGTATCTTTCAATGTTTAATATAATTTCTAAATTAACAATATTTAGCTTCTCAAAGAAGTTTTAACTATTATTGCGTTTGGTATAGGTACTGGAGTAGACATCCCATAAGGACCGGCTGGAACAAAATCTTTTTTTAAAAAGGACGCAGTTGAAGGAGACACATAGTTTGATATCGTATTAATTTTATTTTCCCTTTTTAGTGTTTGTTCCCGTGATAGTTGATGTGTTAAACAATTTATTGTCTATGGCTCACAATAAGTCGTATTTTCAGTTTGATTAGGGGTAAGAAACAGACAGTCGCTTATTTGTTTCGCTGTTGGTGAGTTGCGGCCCAAACCTCATTTTGCGTATGAGGCTGCAGCCCAGACTGAAAAACGTTTTGTACGAGTTGCGGCCCGAGTATGAAACAGGTTAATTGTGGCAATAATCGTACATAATTTAAGCGATCAGTTTATTGTGTTAGTTTGGTTTGCACTCCCTTGTTATAGGTTTGTCATTGTCCATAAATTTATTCTTTTGGCAAAAATTTAAAACTAACTGCTTTCACTAAATCAACCTGTGTAATGTATCCATTTGCTAGCTTGGCCACCTACTGCCTGGTGAAGGCTTCTAGGCAGGCAACTACTTCATTTGAGCTCAAAAAAGGGAGCCCGAAAAAACATTCTGTTTTTTTTTTTCAATTATTTCATTGGTAACACTCAGCTTTAAGAAAGACTTAAACTTTTTTATCACAGCATGGTCATCGCTGAACATCGTTCTTCAATGTTTTGTGAAATCGAAACTTGAACCCCTCATAAACTACGAGATTTGTTTTATTCTAAAACTCGATAAGTTACAGATATTTTCAAGAAGAGTGTGGTCACTATCAAAATATGCCCTCCACCCTATCCGCAGGGTTAGGTTAGGTTAGACATCTTCATTTGCATAGGATACATTTCAACAATGGCGGCCCTCGTCTCAACTTTAACATGAGAATGGAATTTCTTATTCTATTCATAGTCAAAAAGGTACTAGCCAGTGTATTTGTAAATTCCTAATCATTTCACACCTATTTTTTTACCTTCAAACATCAAGGCAGGACCAGTTTCTCCTCTACGGTGACCTTAAAATAATAAGTAAAATATGATTTGCAAATAGTAGACTGATCCCTGATAATGTGTCTTCACATTAAAACGAGTGCACAATACAAATTATCTCTGTTTGTCTACTGTACTGCAAATCTTCTCATCGCTTGACAGCTGATCTAGGACTAGTTGCCCAAGGTCAGTCTTCTATCGTCAGAGGTCAATCAGCTGACTGGGTGACGTCACAACCTTGGATAGCTACACTTCTATTACGTTATAATAGAGTTGTCCACTCTCACAACGCACACACACAAGCACACGTGAAGCTGTACCCTGTATGAATCCTGTTTGTTGCTTCATCAGACTTTAGCAACAGACTAGTGACACGTGCGCACATTTCACTGTGGAAGAACATGAATGTTTTTCCTATTTCTTGTGGAAGAATTTGTAAAAGCGTTGAAAAATCTTTTAAATTTGAACGCGTTTGCGTCCTTTCTAAGGATATTTTAGTTTCACCTGTTCATATGTAAATACTTCCACTGTATTGTAGGAATTCAGTACAGTAAATGTTAATACTTCAACGTCGAATATAAGTTGGGTACTTGTCCCATACCGTGATCACAAACAATAATCGTATGACTTTTCCTATAGGATAATTCCAATACGGTAACATTTCTCTTGGGAGGAGCTACGAACTTTGGCTGCACTTTATAAAACCTATCGCAATTCAATAGAGTGAATGAATCGAAAAACGTTCAAAATAATTTCCGAGGACACAAGTTACATAAAATAAGTTAATTGTTTTTCATAAATTACCCAACACATATCTCCAAAACAAGGGACATTTTTACTACCGAACAAAGATGGATTTGATTTTAAAAAACTCAAACCTCAAAGGTTTTTTTCACTTTTCTTCACAAACCATCCAATATTTGATTTGTCGTTTTAGTTAATTTCATACTAATACTTAACTCATTGCCAGTTATGACACAACCCTTTTGCCCTACTTCAAGTAGTAAGCGTAATAACTGAAGCGTAGAGTTTTTGTTGTAGATGATCACGAACACTATTAATGCAATAAAGGTATTTCTGCGGTTTCCAAAACCACATCTGTTTGAGGCGACGAGAGGTTAAATTTTGAGTAACCTCTACAGGTTGGTAACCTGTTATCACGACATGTTTTATCAATCTTCGTCACCCCTCCCTCCTCCCACCCTCTAACAGGAGCTGATAACGACGAGACCTTGAGTAGATAACGTTACACGTATCACATAGTGATAAGGTAATTAGTCAATTAGCTTTACAACATACAATTAAACAAAATTTTGCTAAAAGTTTTTCAAATATAGAACAGTATCTAACATTTTTTATGTTCATTGTACATTGCACTTCGTATTTCATAATATGAGGAATAATGTCCTCAATGTTACGTTAATTTAATGTTACATTTTGTTTTATAAAAGCCTAAGCAAAATCGCAAGAAAATGAATTAATTGCACATAACAAAAAGCTACCTGCTTAAGCAAATTTCCTAGTAACCTTATCTAAATAACTAAACATCCCATAAAAAATGCAGTTCATCTGTGTTAGGCCCCGGCCACACGAGGCGGTTTAACCGCGCGAAGTTAAGGGGTTCGACAACACATTGAATCAAATGAGA